AGGAGGAGGAGGAGGAGGAGGAGGAGGAGGAAGTGGTGGTAGTCTTGAGCTTCTAAGGAGACTTTTATCTTGTATTTGGTTGGGCCAAGCTCTCCAGGACCAAGGACAGTTCCATAAAGAAAGATAAACAGTCCAACCAACCTGAAGCTGGCTGCTGGCTGAATGTGCAAGCCCCCTCAAACATTATTACAGTAAGCAATAGCAAGACTTTAATGTTCCAGCCAGCTTTTATCAGTCTAATTAGAAAACTTTGTACTGTGTACTGAAAAACATAAATTCCAGATGCTGGCAGGCTAAACTTTGATTCTTCAAAATCACTCCTCTGATTTTACTCTATGCTTTCTGTCTTTCCTGCTTAATCTTTTGTGGAATCAGAAGGTGCCTTAGGTAAAATCAAGTCTCAGGTTTTGGAAAACGTGGAAGAGGAAGAAGTCTGAGGAGTAAGGAGTAAAACAGTACAGGGATATATTTTTTTTGCTCCAACTGTATTACTATCCTAAACAGCCTAGAATTTTAATCCAATCCCACTCCAACATCAAGTCTGATATTTAATTTGAAAGCAAAAGGAGCAGGAGGCACTTCAAAAGCTAGTCCCTAAGGAAATAACTTCCAACTGCAATGTTTAAGAATAGCGAGTCTGACCTCCACATTTCATTTCAAGCAGTAGAAGGAAGCTCTGTGTATCTTCGCTGTTCTTTCTCCTTCCTCCAACGGATTTCTCAGCACTGAAAGCCAAAATAATTCTGCAAACAGCCTCTGCAAAATGCCTATGAATAAGCAAGGCACACATAAGGACTCAGAACTGAGAGTGGACAAAGAGAGCTTTCTATCTGTTCAAAAAGATGCAGCCTGCCATTTCCTGTTTCTCAGCCAGCCTAGCTCGGCAAGCTAATTCTCCATGCTTTCCTCAGCAACAGGGACAGAGTGAGAGGGAGGGAAAAGAAGAGACATGAAAATCAAGAGCCTTACAGCTGCCTGCCTAATGGAGGTATGTTTCTAAATTAACCTTCAGTATTTTTACTGTCACTGAATATTATTCATTGTGGCATTCTAGGGAGGAAAAACAACAGCAGCAGAATCGAAGCAAAACAGAATTGTCTCAATAAGGTTTTTAATCAGTAAACAAGCTTGAAATGAATATATCCATGCTGTCGTTCTTGTTGATACCTTTCTGAATTCAACCTCAGGCTATGAAAGCTGAAAAGTGGCAGCAGAGTTATCTTTTGATGATTATTTTTGTTGTTTTTACTAATGCGTTAATTACAGTTTTATTGCATCTCTCTTTCTTACTGGACTATAAACCACAGTGAGTCAGTTTGAATACGGCACTCTATAAAGATAACACATAAACAAACCTAGTAAATTCTGCTTTAAATATGAAATACAAGTAAGTATTCGATAGCTCTGCTTTTTAAAATACTTCTTCCTAGCACAGGAATGAATACTCAAATGCCTGGACTGAATGCTTATGCTGTTCAGTTATAATACAACAGGTATTAGGCAGCCAACTTCCACCAGAAATGGAAGTGTTAAAATTTTCTTTGCAATTATATCCATTGGTCTAAAGAAAGAAAGTCCCTAGGTAGTGAGAAAAAAATGCAGGAATTAATCTTTAATGATTAGCCTACGGTGGAAAAACAACATTATTTTGTTCTTAGTTAGGAAGGTATTACATTATTACTTTATTAAAATCTGAACCAGTGACTCAACCCTATTCTTGGTTAAAAATCAATGATGAAATAATGGTTTCACAAATTAAAAACTAACCATTGTCAGGTTAAATGTTATTTGGGTGCAATACAATGTTGGAAGTGGCACCAAAGTTCTAAATTCCAGCAACAAGAGGTCATATGGTACATAAGAGTAACTTTTTAAGGGATAAAGCAATATAAATTCATTAATCAACAAACTGACTCAAAAACTATAGCCAGAAGTAGTTTTGGATATTTTGCTGCAAAAGATTTTTTATGGTAATGAAAGGAACCATTCCTATGAATAGATGCATTTTCTATCATGGAAATGGAAAAGGCAAAGTAGATTTCTTGATTATTATTTTTTTCAAAAATGGCTTTCTTGTTATAAAAGATTCCATTGCAGTTTCACCCAAGACTACCTTTTGCAAAATGTAAGTTATGAGAAATTTCTTGATATGACACTAAGATGAGTTGAAGAATTTGGACTGTGAAAGTGGGATTTTAATTATTTAGGATGTGAGGTGTGTTGCCCTTTTTTAATGTAAACCATTATTTGTATTGCTCCAGGTTTACATTTCTTGTCTCACATAGCACTATTTGTAAAGCAAACTAAGCCCATCCCATGCCTCCTTTATTTAGTAAGATTCTGCAGTAGCAGTGGAAAAATTGCAGAATCTGGGTTTTATATAGCTACAATTTACATTAGCCATGGCGGAACAAACTATTTGGCATAGTTTACATAACATAGCCAAGAAAAAGCAATCCACAGATTGCATCTTGCCAAAAGTGCTTCATAGGGTTGTTTTATTCCTAGCAGAATTGTTCTTTTTTTCTGGTTAGGCAACACTGGAAGAGATTGATCCTCAAGAATGTCTTATAAGTGGCATGTCTTAAGTTCCTAATTTTGCTGCTGTAGACAGAACAGAGGGTAAGGTGGATCTGTTTACTAGAAGAAAAAAACATCTCCAGGTCTAGACTCACAAATTTATTTTGCCTGTAGTGGACATTCTAATATTTTAACACATTCAAACTGATCTCCCTCTATGGATCCACAGAGGGTATCTTGAGATGTTCTAGGTTTCCCAAGTGACCTTCCGTCATCCTCCTCCTTGATCACATTCTGGAACTCTGATGCCAGCTTGAGCTCATCCAAGTGGTCTTCCTATCCTTTTCATCTCATATGCAGATGAGTGATAGCATGGTCCACTCTATCAACGCCACACTCTGATTACATTTTTCATAGCCTTCTTTGAGGGCTCCAGTGTTTGAGATTACTTGGTAAGACACCTCTTAAGTGCTCTTCCCTTAGCAAAGGGCCGGGGGAGGCACAATGAATGTCTGTGCCCTGAAGAAGCAGCTATGCAGGCTTACAGAGGATAATTGGTGCTTACAGCTGATAACTGGGAACTTATGACTTTGATCAAGTTCTCTGGGAGGAAACACAATATATAGGAAGTAGCAAAAGATATGCTGTTGGATAACAGACCCCTTAACAGCTAGCAAGTTATTATCTATGAGAGCTTAACCATGAGAACTGTAGGTGGCTCTTGAAAATCAAAACAATAATGCTTTTGCTTGAGAAGAAGAACTAGGGGTGACATGAAAGCAGTGTTCCAATATCTCAGGGGCTGCCACAAAGAAGAGGGAGTCAAGCTATTCTCCAAAGCACCTGAGGCCAGATCAAGAAGCAATGGATGGAAAGTAATCAAGGAAAGAAGCAACCTAGAACTAAGGAGAATTTTCCTGACAGTTAGAACAATTAATCAGTGGAACAGCTTGCCTCCAGAAGTTGTAAATGCTCCAACAATGAACATTTTAAAGAAGAGATTGGACAACCATTTGTCTGAAGTGGTATAGGGTATCCTGCTTGAGTAGGGGTTCGACTAGAAGATGTCCACGGTTCCTTCCAACTCTGTTATTCTGAGCTTAGAGCAAAGGAATGTACTATTGGCATGTAGGAAGTCAAACCTGCCCTGCCGTTCAATCTTCCCTCCTTCCTCACATTTTCAGTTATTTCGGGGGCAAAACGTGAGAAATTACACTAAAACAAAAGATAACAAACTTGGCAAAGAGGCGGAGACTGGCCAAAGGTGGTAGCCCATTCAAGTAAGCATTCCTTTCAGGATAAACAAAAAACATCCCTTCCTCTGTGTGATTGCAACCTCCAATTGCAATACTACTTAAACAGGAAGCCAGCTAATATGGTAAATGAACAGACAAATGCCACAAGCTCAGGGAGCCTAAATATCTAGCACCTCCTTTTGGCCATGCAGCTAACTATAGTTTCCAATATAGGTAGTCCTCGACTTAAAAACCAGTTGAGCCCAAAATTTCTGTGGCTAAGCAAGGCAGTTGTTGAGAAAGTTTTTGCCCCATTTTATGACCTTTCTTGCCACAGTTGTTAAGTGAATTACTGCAGTTGTTGGATAAGTAAGCTGGTTGTTAAGTGAATCTGGCTTTTCCACCAACTTGGCTTGTCAGAAGGTTGCAAAAGGGGGATCACATGCCTCCAGGACACTGCAACCATCATAAATATGAATCAGTTGCCAAGCAGGTCTGAATTTTGATCACAGGATCAGGGGGATGCTGCAGCAATCGTAAGTGTGAAAAACACTCATGTCACATTTTTCAGTGCCATTCTAACTTTGAATGGTCACTAAGTGAACTGTTGTAAGTCAAAGACTGCCTTTAATTCCTAGTGGGCAGGCTTTGTTTCTGAGAGGAACAAGGAAAAAGTATAAAAGTAATCACTTGACAGCTGTAATTCTGCTGCAATCTTCAATTGCTGTTCCTTTGGATCAGGCTGTCGAATAAACTCCATCTCTGCCTCAAGCAACTTGCTTGTTCTGTGGAAGACCTGGCCTAAATTCGAACCCAGAACTATCTTTTAGCAAGCAGTTCTCTCTAAAGTGATGCCACCTTTATGTTCTAGAGTGGAACTGGCATTCTCTTATTGGCCATGGAAGTGGAAGTCACTGGAAGTTATAATCCTAATAGTGCCCCTTTGGAAGAACATAAGTATAAGACTCACCTTTTTCTCTCAAAAAAAGAGGGTGAAAATCTGGGTGCATCTTAAACACTGAATACAGCATTTTTCTGCCTCCCAAAACCCCTCCCCCTTTGCAAAAATGGCCATGCATAGCCTTTGGGAGGCTTCCAGAGTGCTCCTAGGGACTGGGGAGGGCTAAGATGAGCAAAAAACGGGGCATTTTTTTGCTCGTTTTGGCCCCAGCAGCCCCCAGAAGCACTCAATAAGCCTCCTAAAGGCTATGCATGCCCTTTTTTTTTACAAAAACGGCCCTCTTTTCGTGAAAAATGAGCCATTTTTGGGAAGTCTGCAGAGTGGAAAACTTTTTTTAAAATTTGCCTCTTCAAAATCTTGGTGCGTCTTATACGGTAGTTCTCAATCTGAAGTTTATACACCCATATTTTCTGAACTAATATTTAAATCAGCAAAAGAATTTGAAAATGGAAAGGACCTGGTCAGGAACTGGAGAGAAAAACATACCAGGATTTATCCCTATAGGACAGTGATAGCTAACTTTTTTGTCATCGTGTGTCGAAAGCGTGTGTGCGCACCCATAATGCAATGCCCATGTGACACACACACCAAGGTGCATGAGTGCACAACCCTGTGCATGCACGTGACCCCCTCACATGTGCCCCACACCACTCCCCCCTGCATGTGCGCACATCTCCCGCATGCACCTCACCCCTGTGCATGCATGGCAGAGACCCGAAAATCGGCTGGCTGGCTGGTGGCATGCATGCACAGTGGAGCCGGGGCAACAGCTCGATGTCCGCAGAGAGGGCTCTGCGTGCCACCTGTGACACGCATGCCATAGGTTCGCCAACATGGCTATAAGAGAAATAGCATCAGATCAGAAGGTTCTCGACTGTTCTGTTCTAAGCCTTCTCCCCTTCCTCCTGGTCATGTGACTCAGAACAGAGCACGCAGACATAAACACACATAGATGTAACATGAGACACATGTGCACAGATCCAATACGTTCCACAGAAGAAAATACAAAATACAAACACTTTCTATGATCACTGGTAGTAAAGAGGTTATTAACCATTGTAGAAGTCATGATTTGCATACTTTCACAAGAAGATGATTATACAGAAGAAACATCAACTAGGAAATGTAAAAGGTTCAGCTACATCTATCTAGAACTCTAGCTGTTAAGTAGTATGTTAAGCATTTATTTAAATAGCTGGGGTGTTTAGTTGGGTTTTCACCTATCTGCAGTGATAAGGCAAAAAATTAACAAAAGGTATATAAATATTTATTACCGTATTTAATCAGTCTGTAACTTTGTTTTCCTTCAATTATTCCAAAAGACCAAAATATTGTCATTTTTGTCTTACCGAAATATATTTGCATTGGTATGGCTTTCACAATATCTTTTCATTTCAGCTTGTCTCATCTTGGTACTACCATTTTGTGTACAAAATTTTACAAAGCTCTTTAAATTAAAACATTACTATAAAACAGTACAATACCAAATTTTAAAGAACCTTACTTTACCAGTAGGAATTCTCATCCAACTAAATCTGTTATTTGCCAAGTCCAACATATAACAAGTGCTTCCCCCAAACTGGTATCCTTCAGAGGAATACAGTTACAACTGACATAAATTCCCATACTTGCTGGTAACTTGATAGTAAATATGACAACACAGCCTTGCAAAGGATAAATAGTTATTAATCCGCTCACATTCTAGTTGTTAGTTATGTACTAAAATGGCATCCACAAAGGGTGATGATTTTGTAAAGGTAATATTAAAATAAGCAAAAATTTCCAGACATATATTTAGCCAATTTAACGGACATATAAAGGTATAAGAATCTAGATAACTAATATATTCAAACAATGGGCATGACTATTTGCTTGAAAACAGCTAATATTTCACTGTTTATTTAGTTTTTTGAGAGTAATCAAAATGACAAATATAAGGCTGATTAACCCCAATGTTTGACTGATTCCGGCATCAAGAAAAGTATCAGATATCCTCACATCAATGTAATTACACTTTCCCTCACATCATTAGTTCTGATTGCTGCCTGAAATTATTACCTACGATAGGTAGTTTAAATTTCTGCAATTTTCTTACATGTTCTATCATAAGGCAACCAGACAGTGGGCCAGACCTTTGCTGGAAACAGCTGAAAATGGAGCTTGGGAGGTTGATTTCTCTGGCAGAACGCTCGGGCCACCACAGGCGCCCCCAACACGAGTGATATCGAGCTGGTCACGCCCATCCCAGTCCCCCAAGATCAAATACAACCCTGATGCAGCCCTCAATGAAATCCAGTTTGATATCCCTGGCTTACAATGTTAAAATATAAAACTACATAAATAGAATACTACAAACTATAACAACACAAAATACATAAGTAACATATATTACTATTATGGATGTTTGAATTTTCTATTTAAAATAACTGAAGCTGTATCTTAGAAGGTAATCTTGTTTCAATTATTGATGTTAAAACGAATTTAATCCTTGCAATCTAAATACTTCAGAATTTTTTTGCTGATTCTCCAATAGATTAAGCCACCTACGTGCATCATATAAAAATAAGCACAAGTGGTTTAAAAAAAAAGAGAGAGAACAAAATTACTGGCTTTTCTCTTTAATTAACTTCTTCCAGTTAGAAAACTATTGGGGGTGAAGGGGACTGGACCAATTATTACACAGTCTAAAGGGGTATTGCTTGTTTAATATTTACCATTAAACCTGAACAATTTAGAAGATTTGGAAAAAAGTCAAGGTGAATCATGAGGAAGCTTCAGACTGCACTTTGTAATCCTTCCTTCATGCTCTTCAATCTTTACCTAGCTCTGACTATTGCTTGTTTGCGTTACCGCCTACATGTATTAAAAGGTATCGTCTACAGTCTTTAGTGCTGACTTGCTCCGATGCAGTTGACCAGAAAGGCAGTGAGATTCAAGAGGGCTCATCATTATCATATCTAACATTGCAGAACAAGACAAGTAAGAATAAAGCTTCTCCCCTTCTCCCCCCATTTCACAGATGAAGGAACCACATGCAAATGCAGCAGCAGATTCATTAGAACAAGGAATTGATGTTTTTTAATCAGAAGTAGTAAGTTTTTTTTAACGCGGTATAAGAATTTATACACCTATGGCTATTTACATTTGGTGTTTTACAGGATGTGCAGCTCAGTTCTCTTTGAATAAACTTCAAGAGAATCCTTAAAAATAAGTGATATTTTCTCAGGATAATTGCTGTAGTTTTCTGTTCAATAAAGACTTTCCTCCATTTTTGCCCAGCAAGAATTTTAGATACTCTTTCTTTATGGTGGGCCATACAAAGTTAGAAGACTTGCATAGTATTTCTGTTAATTTATAAATATGTACTGTTTATAGTATAAGCCCGAGTTTCTCAACCTGTGGACCACCTGGGGGGAGGGGGGTTGTCGTCACAGGGGAGGTCCAGGAAGACTCTTGAGTTAAATCTTAGATGTCCATGGACATCGTCCATGACCACAAAAGAAGAAAAAGTTGAGAACCAATGGTGTAAGCAATCTTTATCATAATTTGATCCAGCCTTAAATTTCAATAAACTTGCTATTAAGGATGTGGTTTCATGGTTTTTTCAAAGTAGAAGAGGAGTTCCATGCATACTACTATTTTATTATTTGATCTTTATCAGCTAAGAGTTAATGTTACTAATTATGGCACTGTGTACTGCAAAATGCTCTTACTTCCTATTTTCCTCAACTATTGGTGTTCAGCTCATTTAAACCTGGGGAATATTAAGAGCTTACAAAACCATCCCAATAGTTCCCCCCCATCTGTGCTTCCATTCTGATTTTAATGCAGAATTATAAATACCGTGGGGGTCTGATAAGGCTGAGCAAAAATATCTGGAATAAATATTATCCCTGTATGGAGATGAGCATATTAAAGGTGGACCTAAAAACTAGTTATTTGGTGCACTAATCTTCTGGTAGATGCAATGAGATTTTTAATTAGCTGCTTAACAATCCATGCCCATACTGTGAGCCAGTTGCCAAGTGCTCAAATTGGGATCATGTAACCATGGAAGAGGTTGTTGCAGTCACAGCTTTAAGGATGAGTTGTGGATATTTTTGGGGGCTCCGTGTAACTTCAAATTGCCATTAAGCAACTGGTCACTAAGCAATTTATTGTCTCTTAGCAGATATACATCCTGTCTTTCACTGAGTATTACTTTTTTATAATAAAACTGGCAATCATTGACAAAAATCACAATTTGTGGCTTTCCCAGGTGGCTTCCAAAAAGAAATGGAGGAATTGTGATTTGCTTAACAACCGCGTGATTCACTTAACAGCTGCATCACTTAATAGCAGAAGTTCCAGTCCCAATTGTGGTCCAGTCCCAATTTGAGGACTGCCTATATTGCTTCAAAGCTGTGCAAGTAGTTTCTTGTCTGAGTTTCTATTGTGCATAATGGTTTTTTAAATCAGATAATGTAATATGTATTTATGACCAGCATAAAAAACAAAACAGATTTTTTTTCTTGCTATTTCTATTATAGTAAACTTAATATTTTAAAGTTGGTTCGACTGACCCAGAATCAGTTTGATTAGGAAACATGTTGAATAAAAATAATAATGAATATTCAAATAATGCATTGGTTTGCTTGTCCCATTAATAAGAAAGTTGCAAGAGTCTTTAATGATTTTCAAGCAGTAATCTTTTTAAATCACAGGAACTGATTAAAGCTGGTCCAGAATGAAAGAAGAAATGGAAACAGTCATGACAGAAAATGGATCTCTTCTCCAGTTTTACATGGAAAGAAAGATTCCCGAAAAAGGGAGCAAAATAGCAGTTATCAAAAATCAGCTAAGAAAAAAATGTTCCTGCAGCATAAAAACAACGAAAAAAGCCATTCTGGATTTCTTCCCTGTTTTACAATGGCTTCCCAAATACAACTGCAAAGAATACATCTGGGGAGATGTTATGTCGGGATTGATCATTGGGATCATTTTAGTTCCTCAAGCAATCGCCTATTCTTTGTTGGCTGGCTTGAAGCCAATTTATAGTCTTTACACCTCGTTCTTTGCCAACATCATCTATTTTCTCATGGGCACCTCCAGACACGTGTCTGTGGGCATTTTCAGTTTATTAAGCTTAATGGTTGGACAGGTTGTGGATCGAGAATTGCTGCTGGCAGGATTCAACCTGAATGATGACCCACAAGATGTTGGTGACCAGGCCCATTTGAACTTCACGGTCTACAATTTGACAAACAATGAATGTGGGAAAGAATGCTATGCTATTGGAGTAGCTACAGCACTGACCTTCATGGCTGGAGTTTATCAGGTATGGTCTTTCCCTACCATTACTCAACCCATATAGATTTGCAAATGTAAACTTAAAGTGTGGTTCATCTTAAGAGGAAAATATTTCTTATTTAGAAGTAAAATCTGTTCCGGTTCTTATTCCAAGCTGGGGGAGAGACACAGGAGAAATGAATTGGAAGCAGGCTGCACTTGGAAAGGAGGTCTCCATTTATTTGGTAACCAGAAACAACAGTGACAACAGCATGTTTCTCGAGTGGCTGACAAATTGGGGTTGAGAGTGGATGGGCTTTTGTACAATTTGGGGGGCTTTGTGATTGACAGGCCTGTTCCTTCCCTTCAATATTTTAATGGATGTTGCCAGATTGCTATGGGGTCATGACTGACTCTACAGGCAAAAGGGGAAATGCAAATCTTAGGTCAGCGAAGGCGAACCTTTTTTGGCTCGCGTGCCATAAGTGGGGGGAGCGCAGGGGGGGGTCGTGTGTGGGCATGCCGCATCCATAATGCAATGTGCTTCCCCCTAGTGTGCATGCATGTACTACAGGCGCTCCCCCCCCATTTTTTGCATGCTTTTTTCACCCTCCCCAGGCTTCAAAGGCTTTATAGGAGCCTGGGTAGGGTGAAAAATGGCTTTAAAAAAGGGTGAACTCAGCTGGCCAGCCCGTACATGTGCACTGGCCAACTGACAGGACAACGCCTCGTGTGCCCTGACAAATGGCTCCACGTGCCACCTGTCGGCACGCATGCCATAGGTTCGCCATCACTGTCCTAGGTGTTTCGTTTGTCTGAGTTAATCCTGTGAGTTTCGGATCCTTGCCTATTGTGCTATTTATTCAGAACTGTTGACTTGCCTTTTATTTATGAGTAGTGTGACCTGGCTTTATGAATGGATACAAAATATCCATTCACAAAGCCTAACCTCTTCAGGCTACTGCTTGAGGCTGTTTTCTTACTGCAGATTTTTCTCCTCTTTTCCTTTAGGGGAAATATTTTATTCTGCCTCTTTTAATATTCTGTAGAGTATTTTATTCTGGAGAGGGGGGACCTCCCCACAGAAGCAAGGGGAACCCTCATAAGAACAATTAAAAGCAATCAAATATCAAACAGAAGTAAGTTAAGATAATTTGGTATCTCTTTTATTTGCTGCAAAGAAAATTAGGGGAGCTTCTTTCTATATTTTGTTATTTTTCTTTCTGCATTTTTGCTTCTTTTTTTCCTCTTGCTCTCTCTTTACTCCTTTTTAGTTTATGTTAGTTTTTAATGGATTTTGAACAGTGGTGGGATTCAAATAATTTAACACTCAATTCTCTGCCCTAATGAATTCTTCCAACAACCAGTTCACCAAACTGCTCAGAAAGTTAACAACCGGTTCTCCCAAAGTGGTGCGAAGTGGCTGAATCCCACTGGTTTTGTATAACTTTTAATACATTTAAAAAGATGGATATAAGCCCAGTGAGACAAATAAATAGTAAATAAACAGAGTAACAGAGTGAATGCTTGTAATTAAAGGGATTTTAAAAGAAGGCTTGGTAGATCTTTCTGTGAAGATTCAAATTAAATTACTTGGACAATTTGTTTCACTTTTTTATGTAATTCAATTCTCAGCCATCAAATCCCTCAACAACTCTGACTGGTTTATATATGTAACAACAACTCAACCTAAAACATCCAATTAATAGACTAAGTCCACATCACAAAACAAAGAAACATGTTAAGAACTTAACCACGAGAAAGCACAATTTAAAAAAAAAAATCTGCTGCTTTATCTGCTTTATGTTATTGTCATGCAATTATTTTGTATGTCTGTTTTTATCTTATCTGAGTCTGACACCTAGGGAATATTAAGTTATCCTTTAAAGAAAGAAATGCAATGTATTTAAATAAAAAATTTAAAAGCTAAGGAGGAAAAATATATAGGCTGTTTCCTTTATTATTTTACTTATCTAAAAACCACACTTGGAAATGTAAAGCTTCTCCCAGCTGCTAGGCTAGAAACAGATAACAAGGCACTCAAAGATAAAGGAATTTTTGATAAGTAAGATTTTTTTAAAGCAGAAAAAAGGGAATTAGGGTAATATGAAACAATACCATATCAAACGTAGACCTATTTGTAGTGAAATTAAAATTGAATTTCTTGTACCTCTTTCTCCTACATGCACTGTTTGAAATCATTCTTAAAGTCTTTCTCTTTTGAATGGGAAAACACTTATCTCTTATTTTGCAAATAGACTAATCTTTTTAGGCTATTTGTTAGTGACCTTCTGAAAGCTAGGTTTCACATTGAGAAATAGGGTTGCATATTTCTCACTTTGCCCCCCAGGGGCAAACTCTGAGGTTTTCTAAATGTGATCTTAGCAAAATACCTTACAACTGGACTTAGAGATACTTCTGTGTAATTTCATACATACATATAACTGTTTTCCAGTGACACATCAAGCCAAGTCATAAAGAAACTACAGAAGTTGAAGAAACATGGGATAAAAAAGGGTTAGGCACAGTAATAACTACTTACATAATTTACCAAAAGAGTAAAGACAGTTATTTGGGGAGTGGGCTTACTTTAAAAATGTCAAATGTGTTGGCAGAAATGTCCTTCTGGATTCAGTTCTAAGTGGGAAAAAGACACTGGAAACATGGAGACTTCTTGGAAAGATGGTTTAATGGTGGACAGGACCACATGGTTTGAGCTCCTGAACAGAAAAGTGGGACCACATGCTTCAAGATGTTGGGTGAAGAAAAGAGGGTGCTGAAAATTCCTGGTTTTATCCCTTCTCTGCCGTTTGATCTTGATCTTGTATTCTGATTGGTTGTCAGACTCCCATAGGGCCATGCAGGGGCAACTCTGTAGACTGTACTTTGAGTCCAAGTTTAGTTGTCTTGCTGGCTGATGTAATTTTCCCAAGTGCCTTGAGGTGTGTTTCTGTATAAGGCTAATCCTATCTTTGTTATGTAGAGTAGACTAGCTCAGGCTTTAATGGCTCATTGACAAAGTGGGGGGCAGGAAGCTGCAGAGAGCTACTTTGTCTTCAAAAACATGTTTCTCCCTTTTCACATCCAGAGAAATATAATATTCTGCCTTCTTAATATTTCCCCCAATATTTCAGTTTTCTAGCAGAGGGGTGGGTTTTACTTCCTACAGTGTGATGCACAGATAAAACACTTCTGCATTTGCATACTCTTATTGTACTAATAATTGTCTGAATAATTCTATTATTATTTTTGCTATTAATTTTCCGTAAAATTGTGTTCTTCTTTGGTCCGAGATAAACTGGGGAAAAATAAGACATTCTAAAATGCCTCAAAGGTAGAAACCAGTGGTGGGATTCAATTTTTTTTACTACCGGTTCTGTGGGCCTGACTTGGTGGGCATGGTATGGCTTGTTGGGCGTGGCAGGGGAAGGATACTGTAAAATCCCCATTCCCTCCCGATCAGCTGGGACTCGGGAGGCAGAGAATAAATGGGGGTGGGGCCAGTCAGAGGTGGTATTTACCGGTTCTCCGAACGACTCAAAAATTCTGCTACCAGTTCTCCAGAACTGGTCAGAACCTGCTGAATATCACCTTTGGTAGAAACATCTTCCAGCTAAATATCCCAAGCAGTGTTAACCTGCTCTGGTTTTTCTTGCAGGTCCTGATGGGAATTTTTCACCTTGGGTTTGTATCCGTGTATCTTTCTGAACCGGTGCTGGATGGATTTGCCACTGGTGCTTCATTAACTATTTTAACAGCTCAAGTTAAATACCTCATTGGAATAAAAATCCCGCGTGCCCAGGGATATGGGCTCTTGATTACCACTTGGGCTAACGTTTTTCAGAATGTTTCTCAAGCAAATCTATGTGATGTGATCACCAGCGCTATCTGCATTGCCGTACTGGTCACTGCGAAGGAACTAGGAGATAAGTACAAACACAAGCTCAGGATCCCTTTCCCCACAGAGCTGGTGGTAATTGTGATTGCCACCCTGGTGTCCCATTATGGGAAACTGAAAGAAGTTTATGCGTCCAGCGTATCGGGTGAAATTCCGACTGGATTTATACCACCTAAAGTGCCCAGCTTCCACCTTATGCAAAGAGTTGCTGTCGATGCTCTCCCACTCGCCATCGTTGGCTTTGCTTTTACCGTTTCGCTCTCCGAAATGTTTGCCAAGAAGTATGCCTATACTGTCAAGGCCAATCAGGAAATGTTTGCCATTGGCTTCTGTAATATCATTCCAGCTTTCTTCCACTGCTTCGCTACCAGCGCAGCTCTAGCTAAGACCCTGGTCAAAACGTCCACCGGGTGCCAGACCCAGGTATCCAGCATTGTGAGTGCTGTGGTTGTATTGCTTGTGCTGCTATTCTTCGCTCCCCTCTTCTACAACCTACAGAAATGTGTTTTGGCTTGCATCATAATAGTGAGTCTAAGAGGAGCCCTTAGAAAATTCAAAGATATTCCTCAACGCTACCGCCTGGACAAAGTAGATGCCTTGGTTTGGTGTGTTACCATGCTCTCATCTGCTCTGATCAGCACAGAAATGGGATTGTTGGTGGGTGCTATTTTCTCAGTCTTCAGCATTATCGGCCGCACCCAGTGCCCACATGCCGCCTTGTTAGGGCAAATCGGGAACAGTGTCTTCTATGAAGATGACGAAGAATATAAAGACCTTCTCCCAGTTCCGAAGATCAAAATCTTCCGTTTTGAAGCACCACTTTATTATGCAAATAAGGACTTCTTCCTAAAGTGCCTCCACAACAGGACAGGGCTGAATCCTGCACTTGAAGTTGCCAAAAGGAAAAAGTCCAGGAGGAAAGGGCAACATCTGGATAATAAATTAGGACAGAAAGAAATGTCACCATGCTTGGTTCCAGAAGATGGTGACTTTCATACAATCATCATCGACTGCTCTTCTATTCCATTTTTGGACACAGCTGGGGTGAGCGCATTAAAAGAAACATTCAAAGACTATCGGGAGCTGGAGATCAGCATACATTTGGCTTGTTGTAATCCTTCAGTGATATCTTCCCTGGAAAAAGGAGGCTATTTTAAGGGTACAGAAAAAGACATGCATAAATTGCTGTTTCATAGTATATCTAGTGCTGTCCAGTTTGTAAGAGAGAGGGAAATTGCAACAGATGACTCTGTGGTTTAATCCAGTAATTGGCAGTTTGGAGATTTTGTGTTCATCATAGACAGATTGTGGTTTCAACATGCTTGGACCTGAGTGCTTCTTTGAGTCCCCTTTGGTAACATGGAACACATCCCCAAAGCCTTTAGCTAAGTACTGTAACCCCCAAATGAAATCTTTATCAAATAAAGTTAATCTATTGTTCAGTTTAACTATATACAAAATCAGTTTTGTTCTAACTCTGGTCAATGGATAGTGTTTTGACTCCTGCCATGGGCTCTTGTGTTCCTCATCCTGTTCTTCATTTAAAGGAAGGAGACCAAAAGCTTCCATCCTCAGCATTGAAAAAAGGAATGTTTGCCATTATGTTCAATCTCAAGGAAATGTGACTTATGTCAAGTGTTTCTGTAAACAAATAAGGTTCAAGGTGTTGTTTCCCACCATAATTTGTTAACTTGCTGCAACTCATTTTTGTAACCCTAAGCCATTATTTAGCAATATATCTGCCTCAAGATATACTGTTCGCTTATGTCTTCTTTAATGAAGATTAGGTATTTCTTTCATGGAGTCCTGTACTTCTCCCCCCCCCCCCCCAAAGTTTCTTTTTAAGGTTTCATCCCATGTTGGATGAATGAAGACTCAATTTCTTGGTTTATCTTAATGGTATTTAAAATAAAAGCAAGAAACATTAGAAGTTATGTCCAGAAAGGACAAATCACAGAGACAATAGCTTCACGGAGGTTCTTTGCTTGCTAAACTGCAGAGCATCTTCTCCTAAAACAATATTTTAAATGTGTATCTTATCAACCAGAAACCGCTCATGGCATTTTGTGATTAAAGACAAAATTGATACCTTTCACTGTAGTAAAAATAGCCTTGCTATCTAGGGCAATTTAGTCAATAACAGAGAAGACATAAATGTATTTTTCTAAACCATAATTACAGATAGTCCTTGATTTACTACCACAATTGAGCCCAAATTTTATGTTGCTAAGTGAGGTAAGTTGTTAAGTGAATTTTGCTACATTTTAGGACGTTTCTTGACACAGTTGTTAAATGAACCACTGTGGTTGTTAAGTTAGTAACATAGTTGTTAAATGAATGTCTCTTCCCAATGTCAGAAGGTCGCAAAAGATGATTACATGACTCCAGGACACTGCAAACGTCATCAATAGGAGTCCATTGCCAAGTGTCTGAATTTTGATTACATGATCATGGGGATGCTGAAATGGCTATAAGTGTGAAAAATGATCACAAGTCATCTTTTTCAATGCTATTATAACTTTGAATGGTCACTAAACAAATGATTGTTAGTCAAGAACTACCTGGACTTTATTTTGGGGAGCTAGGAGAAGACATGATAGCAGTATTCCAATATCTAAGGGAGTTCCAAAGCCCCTGAAGGCAGGACAAGCAGCAGTGGGTTGAAAGTAATCAAGGAGAGAAACAACTTAGAATTAAGGAGAAATAAAAGAAAAAACCAGACTGTATGATTTCACCTCCAGGATCTCTTTGTAGAAATTAATCTCTGATCAGAAGAAACTAACTATGCAGTTCTCCTTCCATACAGTTGTAAAGTTCCTCTTTCCTATATTTTGTCCACTGTGCTTTATTTATTGGTCTCAATTTTCTTCTTCATATAATTAATTACAAAATATTTACTAATGTCCTTTGTGTACTTTTACAAAATACATCATATGCAATACCCTTCAATAGTACAAAAGGGAAATCACTGAATCACACACCACAAACTTTCTGTCCAGTATTTCTATTTTCCCCAATGGATATCCCCAACTGCTTTATAAAAAAAATAGTCCCCCCTCTTGAAAGGGGCTTCAACTGACAGCCAAAAAAGTTGAAAGTAAGTTGAAAGTATCCACTGTAATAGATGAATTGGTATCTCCTCCGAAAAACACTGTGCATATCACGTACATTTAAGGAAACCTTTTCTATTGTTTCTTCAGGGGTTGATAATACACACACCTCAAATTACAGTTCTGCAATTTTTACTCACTGTCTGAAAAATCTCTGAACTAGAAGACAGCTGCTTCTTTAAGTGAGGTCCACAAAATGGAATGTTTAATTTCTTTAAAATTATTGTTATTTGTTTGAAGAAAACTGTTCATTCAGGGCCCATCAGAAGACAGTGTAGAGCACATAGTTCTTCACTACCTCTTGAAGCAAGTATATATAAATTCTACTGAAAACTGTCAGTATTCACAAATCTGATAGATAGATGATAGATAGATAGATAGATAGATAGATAAATAGATGGATAGACAGACAGACAATCTTATACTAGTGAGCACATTTAAGCTCCTCCAACTGAACTTTCCATTGAAGCAGGAACAATTCAAAGTACCCTACAAAATCAAATACAATCAAAGAAGCCACATGGACCACTGAGTCCAACTCCCTTGTGCTACTCAGTACAAAAATCCAAATAAAACTATCCTCATTAGTGGGCTCTTTGAACTCTGCTTGAATACATCTAGCATCTTGCTGGTAATCATAAGGTGACCAGACGTCCTGCTTTTGGCGGGACAGTCCCGATTTTTAATAATTTGTCCCGCGTCCCGCGGTGTTTTAAAAAACTCCCGATTTTTGGCAAGTAGATTTTGGCAAGTAAATACATGGCAAGTAAACATTGCATAGCAGTTTCCCACTGCCGCGCAGTGTCGTTTGCTGGACACGGACTGCAGTCTCTGTACTCTGCAGAATGGCCGTGGAATCGTGAACAAACCCCCCTCCAGCTAATCGCAAACGGAGACGAACGCTGTTTGCCCTATATATATATCAGTTAGCGTTTGACGGCTTTCCATTGGACTTGGAGGCATTCACAGCATAGCCTGGGATCCATCGCACGTTGATGACATAGACGGCTTTGCTTGGGGGAGTTGTTTGTGACGTGGCAGAAGGCGGAAGCAATGTTGCGGCAGGTGGGATCTCAGGGGCTATTATTTCCTAGCGCGGGCCAGGGACGCCGAGTGGTTTGCTCGCATCGGGACTGAAGGGACTTTTTAATGTTGGGAGAGGGAGGTGAGCTGGAAGAGGACCTGGTGGAGGACTTCCAAGCCAAGGTCGTGGCTTCATCGCGATGAAGCCTACCCTAAGCTTGCACAAGTTGCAGCTGCTTTGTTAGAAGAAGAAGAAGGGCTTGGCTCTTCCTTCCTTCTCCCGTGATGATGTCTGGGCTTATGCCCGCAAAGCATTTCTTCCTTCCTGTCCCCAATTGTTAAATGTGTTTGTATATTGTTTTTAATTTGGGGTGGGGGAGCTCCTGGTCCCGCGCTGACCAATGATCTTTGGCAGGTCAGGGATGGAGGACACTCCTCTATCCTTGTGCTCCTTGACCTCTCAGCGGCCTTCAATACCATCGACCATGGTATCCT